TAGACAAGAATCGACTAATTATAGCACGTATCATGCAAATGGTTGGGGGTGTGGGGGGGGTGTGGGGGGGGTGTGGGGTGGTTGGTGGTGGGGGGACCCTATATGTAAGAGATTGATTGATAAATCACTTTAAATAAAGGGCTTACGGACAGATAAGCAAAACCAAACAACTCCATGTAGTCTCTATTGTCATCCGGCAGACAACATGCGTATTATGCAGGCATGTTTGAAGGTTTTGTTTTGTTGTTTTCCTTGATGTTGTTTGTCCATGATTGTAAGAGCATATAACAAGTTCATTTTTTGGGATGCCATACGAGTGCTTTATGGATTCTCTCTTTATGTTTTTCAGTTTCGGGTGAGTTGGATTTTCAAGATATAAAATTATTTTTACTCATTCTCTTGCACTAGTTGTATTTATTGGTAATATGCTAATGACATATGCATACATATATATATATATATATATATATATATATTATATGTATAGTGGAGTGGCATTTTTCCACACGTTAACATATTTGGAAATCTTCACAGAATAATTAACTAGTTTTAGGGTTGACCACTACTTGACAAGATTTAGACCATTGACCATTAACAAAATTAATATTAAATGAGTCGGACAACTACGAGAAAGCATATCTGAAAACTACAAGAAAAGTAATTATATACTGATTATCAACTATTAAAGAATTTGATTGAGAAAAATTAAGGGTTAATCGTTTTATTAGTCTTTAAATTTAGATTCGATTGCATTTGAGTACCTCAATTTCCAAAATGGTTCCCATGGTCCTTTAACTTTAGTTTCCTTAGGACAAATGATCATGCCGTCAATTTTGTTAACTTTTCTGTTAAGTGCAGGGGCAAAATAGTATTTTTATATCAAAATTGATTAAAATATGAATAAAAAATAAAAAAAACTAAAAAATTAAAATTAAACTCTGTCCTCCCCTCTATCCCGATTTCTACTCCCCCAAACTTTATTTATTTATTTTTATTTATTTGATTTTCTTTTATTGTTATTTTAAAGATATGATTTTTTATTCATTTTTTTGGTTTTAATATAAAAATACCATTTTGCCCCTGCATTTAACAGAAAAAGTTAACGCAATTGACGCTAGGACCATTTGTCCAAACGAAACTAAAGTTAAAGGACCACGGGAACTATATTTTTGGAAATTGAAGTACTCAAATGCAAATCGGGTCAAATTTCAGGGATTAATAAAATGATTAACCCAAAAATTAATTATCAAAGCCTTTGCGATTTTAGGCTTGAAGTATGAGAACTTTGGGTAAGGAATGTTTTGCGTTTGCTTTACTGAAAAAAAACTCAAGGGTTCATGAATTTATGTTTAAACCCCTGTTTCTTAGTCACCCCAAATATAAATAAATATTTTAACAAATACTACATTAATTAAAGTGAAGAGTTTGCTAGGATACAAATTATTAAGGTAGTAAACGAACTTTTTCAAATTGCCACATAGGTCAACAAACTCCAATTTGAAAATTTGATTTGCTACTACTGTTGGAGATGCTTTTATAATACTAAAAACTTATGTTTAAAAATTACATAAAAAAAGGTCTAAATCTATGTTTGCAGTTTGATCCAAAGGGCCTAATCTTGTCTAAATTGATTCGGCTACAAAACACACGGCTAAGATTGAGAATCCAATCCCAATAATTTTATTTGGCCCACCAAACGGGCCCAAATGGCCTTAGCTCCTTAACAAAATCCATCTCTTGGCCAGCGATTTGTACAAAGATCAAAACATGTATGATGTATGTATGTGCCTCTTATATATCTTGAAAAAATATTTGTGCTCCTCATAAGAAAGGTCTCTCTGTTGAAATCTGCCTCTAATTTGTAAATTCCCTATTATGCAATAAGATTTGGACATCATTGCTCCTTGTAAGGCGTAACATGTGTTGTAGGGTGGTTGACTATTTAGGATTTAGGGTTTGGATATAGTCGTGCTATAACTTAGATGAATTCGATCTACGGTACCCGTGAGGTGATTTATCTTATATATCCTCTAATTTTTTCCCTCTTTTCGATTAACTTAAGTTCCTCTTTTGCCATTTTATTTAATAAATCATAAGTCCAAAGGCTCTTTTTTTTGGCATCATTGCCCTAAGGCTTTTGAAGAAATTTTATGCTAATTACTCATGTTAAGTATTTAATTACGATAGCGAGGATTACCACTCTCTTTTGGAAGACGACGCACAGAGGTGGAGAACCTAGCCCAACAACGATATGAGAAAGATATCTTTCTTCCTGCGAATTCCCAAAGGAATGCCTGCCACACAGCCAAAAGGAAAAGAAAATGAAAAACAAAATTATGACAGCGTGTATAATGCGTTCTTCCTCTTCCTTATTTGTCAATAAATAGATCAAAACATGCAATTCTAGAACACAATAACATGAAATAAAGATTCAGTGGAAAAGAAAAGGGGGAATGGAAGTAAGAATAAGAATGGAGATGAGATTTAGAGGGAATACAAGAAGGGAGAAGTAACAAAAATGAAAACAAAAACAAAAAATTGAAATATATTTAAAATTGTTTTCACTTTTGTTACTTTTCCCTCCTATCATCCTCTCCCATTATTTCTCTCAATCTCACACTCGCTCCCATTCTCACTTTCATTTTTCTTTATACTCTAGCACAAAAAATTAAAACTAAAATTGAAATTGTTATAAAATGGGCCCTAAAATTCTCATCTTTTCTCTCATTCTCACTTCCATTCTCCCTCTTTTTCCTCTGTACTCTAACACAAAAAAATAAAAACTGAAAACTAAAATTAAAATAGTTATCGAACAGGTCCTAATTTTAGCGAGCACGACTTCATACATGTACATGGGATTAAAGGAAACATAATGCAAGCTCAATTTTGACTAGAATCCAGAACCATTTGGCGTCAATGTTTTGTTTCCAGTTGTGATTAAAAGAATAATGGACTGAAACAAGAGAAGAATTGATTTGACTAATCATAATGGTGATTTGATGGACTGAAATGTGAGATGAATTGATTTGATGGACTGAAACATGAGAAGAATTGATTACTAAAAAGAAAGAGAGGATCTTGCAGACAAAAGCAGAAGGTTGATGTTTTATCTAGAAAGGCTATAATGAGGGCTTAAAGTGAGGAGCTTATTTGAGGAGGTCAAATCTCACCATCAACAAATGTAAAGAAATCATGGGACTTAAATATTTTAAATGTTTTGACGGTCGGATCGGTCTCCTCAAATAACCTCCTCACTTTAACTCCTCATTGTAGAAGCTCCCTGTTTTATCATGGCCTTCTTTGAACACCTGGGCCCTATCTCGGCCGAATACCGTCCCATGGTCCATGGGCAATTCGCAATTGTACCAGCCGTAGATTATATTAAAAAAAAATTTAAAAATTGAAAAAATGCGAGTAAGAGGCACAGATTGACATATATATTGTAGTGACTTAATAAAATTCAAAACAAAAAATTTATGTAACGAGTGTGAGACTGTGATTTATCTGCAAGAAAACCAAACTCATGGAGCCAAGGCTGATTTTTCTGATGAAAAAATTGATTCCATTCCACTTAAATGAAAACAAACAGAAAAGGGGGGAAAAAAAAAGATTTCTATAATTCCAGAAATTAAATTACGTATGCAGATAGGAGACAAAGTTGTTAATTTACCGAAACGAATTCACCCAAAAAAGAAAATTCCGAGTTTAACCTTACTTTCCTTGAGCGTTTTCGTTGCAATCTCTCTGACATATTTCTCTTCTTGCCTCCTCCTGCTCTTCGGCAAACGTTGTCCATTTGCTCTCTTTCTTCTCTCTTCTTTCCTTCCATGAGCCAAAGAAACTGAAGCCAAGACTCCATGCATGCCCATTTGCTCTGTCATTGTTCTTCTTCGGCTACCCATACACCACATCAACCCTAAGAAAGCACTTCACACCGTGATCAGCACCCAAACTCTCTTGTATTTAATTCCATTAACTTGAAAAACAAACAACAAAAGCAAAGGAATTAGAGAAACACCAGCTTTCTTCTCTACCCTCGCAGTTGCTACCGTTCAGACCAAAATGGCCAGCTTTATTGGCTTGCAGAGCTTTAAGTCTTGACTTGAGTCTTCTCCTCTAAAAGACAAATAGTCTAGCTGGATAAAAGGCTGACAACATGAAACATGAGGTAGATGAAAGGCTCCTATTTCGAAGCTTGTCCGTACGCCGGACCACTTTAATGATGCAATATTGTCAGCAAGAGGCAGCTGGGAAATACCACGTGTGTACGACCTTCCTCCTTTAACAGCCACTCACTATGTATTTATGTCCGCCACATTAAAAAGGATGGATCTAAGAAGCACTCTCGTTGTTTGAAAGAACCAGACGCTGTATTGCTGCACAATGATAATGGTCCAGTTTGAAACGCTAATGCAAACAAGTGGTTTAGCTAGGATAAATAGAAAAGACAACCAGTTTGAAACGCTCACATATCACGGTGAGGTAATAACATACATGATGTAGCCAATATGGTCTAACATAGTAAAAAATGATCATAAGTTGCATAACAATGGTCTTAGGTTCGAAACTCCATAATATACCTTGGCAATTAATGCAGTGACAGAGCTTAAAATCTCTCAAAAATGGTCAGCCTTAAATAAGTCTAAGATGATTACACTAAACTTAACTTTTACTATGCTAAAGAATTCATTATACTTAACTTTTAATATTACAAATTTGATATCTTATGATTTAATTGTTATCATTCCAAAATCATAATACTAAGTATAACCCAAGTTTTATTATGGTAAAAAAATTGAAAAATTCAACCAAGAAAAAGAGTATATGAAAATTGATTTTAGCATATAGAATCACAAAATCAAATAAAATCAAGGCAAGCGCAGGTCAAGAGTATAATTGAAGACATGAAAACAAGTGTAGATGTTTGGGCACAACTGGTCAACAGTAAGACTCGATGATGACTACATAAAATAACTTATGTGGAGACAAGGAAGCCATCCATGCAGGATGCCGCTAAAATAACTCGCTTTCAAGATGTGCCTATGCAAACAGTGAAGAGACCCTTCTTAAGGCAGTTGCTAATCATTATGTTTCCATTGATCCTAGAGATTCTGATTCTCAATTCTATTCAAGCGGTGTCTTTAAGGGGGAGTTGTGGAACAAGCCTCGATCATGGTGTTACCGATGTTGGTTCTGGGGTCATTATGGGATCAAGTATTGGTTAGTGGGGTCAGAACGAGGTGAAGAAGGATACATAAGAATGCAAAGAAATGTTGAGGCAAAGGAAGGCCTTTGTGGCATTGCTATGGAAGCCCACTGCATAGTTGAATTATACCTTCAAAATCAAAGCCTACAGCCTACTATATGTATATTGTTAGTAAATTCTGCATATAAAACAATCTTAAACAATCTTGATGTATGACATTTACAAACCCTAAGAAGAGCTCAACTTTTACTCATTTCTTTCTTCTTCTTTTTTAACCTAATTATATGGCACTTAATTTGTACACTACAGCCAAATCAAGAAAAAACAAAAACAAAACAAAAGCATTGCCAAACTACAAGACAGAATTTTAAAAAGGTCCGTGAGGTTTGCCACTACAATTTAATAAATTCTGCATATAAAACAAAGTATTAGCATTTGGTATGAAAAAAATATTTAGGGTCCCTAATCACATGAGGACAAATGGTTTTCCAGTAAATGATCGTGACATCAAATTGTATTAATAGTCATATGAGCCAACTTACGGATTCACATCAGGACATTTGCTTGGGCACGAAGATTGCAAATCAACTTTTGGGGCACGATGATAGCAAGGCCATCGATCTATTCTCTATATTAACTGTGAAGAAGTGTACCATTTCAGTGCATACCAACTCTTCAATTCATTTATACTTATATCAACTCTAGCTGCTTCCAGTGTTAACTACCATGGAGTTTATTAACCAGTACTACTGCAAATGTATCTGTTTGGCCTTGATCTTCATGTTGGGGGCTTGGTCTTCTCAAGCCACTTCTCGCAATCTCCAAGATGCATCAATGTATGGAAAATACGAGCAATGGATGGCTCACTATGGACGTGTATATACCAACGTTCAAGAGAAAGAGATGCGTTTCAAGATATTCAAGGAAAATGTGGCATTCATAGAATCATCAAATAGCGATGCAAACAAACCTTATAAATTGAGTGTCAATCAATTTGCAGACCTTACAAATGAAGAATTCAAAGCCTCTAGAAATGGATTCTTGGGGCATGAATGCTCTACAAAGACAACTACTTTCAAATATGAAAATGTTACAGCCCCACCTGCGGTAGATTGGAGAACAAAAGGAGCTGTGACGCCTATCAAAGACCAAGGCCAATGTGGTAATTTTCATCTAGATATTACAAACACTACTCTCCTTTTGAAAATTAATTTAATCATATTGTTATTAATCTAATTGGTTTTTAACTGCAATAAAAAAAATGTAGGATGTTGTTGGGCTTTTTCAGCAGTGGCTGCCATGGAAGGAATTACTAAGCTTTCAACTGGTAACCTAATCTCTTTATCTGAGCAAGAGTTGGTTGATTGTGACACCAAAGGTGTAGACCAAGGTTGTGAGGGTGGCTTGATGGATGATGCATTTCAATTCATCAATCAAAATCATGGGCTTAGTACCGAGACAAATTACCCCTACACAGGTGTTGATGGTACTTGCAACACCAAGAAGGAGGCTAGCCATGCTGCCAAGATAACTGGCCACGAAGATGTGCCTGCAAACAGTGAAGCTGCCCTTCTTAAGGCTGTTGCTAATCAACCTATTTCAGTTGCCATTGACGCCGGAGGTTCTGATTTTCAATTCTATTCAAGTGGTGTCTTTACAGGAGCTTGTGGAACAAGTCTTGATCATGGTGTTACCGCTGTTGGTTACGGAGTCAGTGCTGATGGTACCAAGTATTGGTTGGTGAAGAACTCATGGGGCACAGAATGGGGTGAAAAAGGATACATAAGAATGCAAAGAGGTGTTGAGGCAAAAGAAGGTCTTTGTGGCATTGCTATGGAAGCCTCTTACCCCACCGCGTAGTTTGAATTATACCCTCAAAATCAATGCCTACTGTATAAAAACCTCGTGGGTGTACTGTATATCATGATATGTATATGACGAACTTGTACCCTTACGTACATGAAATTATGCCTGTAACAAAACTATTAAGTTTTATTATTACCAAAATGAAGAACTTATTCAACTTGTTTGAGTTGAATTATCCAGTAATGTCTAAAATTTACCACTTGCTTGTGTAAACTTAAAAAATAGACCAAATCAAAGACTTAGTTAGATATAAGGCCTCCTCTGCTATAGCTCGTGTTGCATTTATTTATTTATTTATATAATAATAAATTTAATTTGGAAAAAGATAAAGTTACATGTAATTTCATACTAATTAGTTTATGTGCCTCTTAAAAGTGTTTATGAACAGAAATACCTTCCTAAAAAAGCAGTCCCAAAAAAGCCCTAAAAGATAATTGATTACCTCACGTTACACTTTATTTCTTAATGTTTTCTTTTAGCAGCACTTAATTACAATCGATTATTAACCATAGAAACAATTGAAAACAATATCTAATCGAAACTAAGGGGAACAAATGTTTGTCCTTTTTCAAACGACCAAATGGGTACCTTGGGACACACATTCAAAATAAAATAACTCAAAGCACAGCCACCGAAGCACCTGGCTGAGCTCGCAGAGCTTTCGAAGCCATGGAGATGGCGATAACTGTGATGAATGTGGCAACTCTCCAACCCAAACCTCTTCGAGCCAAAAGCCCTTACCTTCTTCCAAACCCAAGAAGAGTCTTCAACTTCAAGGCCTCTTCTCTCCACAACCCTCAAGTCTCATCAATCGGAGCTCCAACTCTGGTGGGTCAATTCGACCCAACAATCCCCATAGAGCGAGCCGTAACTCCACCCAGCTCATGGTACACCGATCCTTCCTTTTACTCTCTCGAACTCGACGCCCTCTTCTACCGTGGATGGCAGGCCGCAGGTCAGCTTCTATTTAATTTACTTGTTATCTCTGTTTGGTCGCTGAGAAAAACGGCAGGAAAATTATTGAAGAAAGTAGTCATGAGCTTTTGAATGGTTGTTGATTTTCAGGATACACTGAACAGATAAAAAATCCAGGGGAGTTTTTCACTTGCAGGTGGAAGCTTTTGACTTGTAATTAGTTAAGCTCTGTTTGGTTTTTGTGGTTTTTGGTTTTGGGGTTTTGATTTAGTTACTTAGCTAGCAGATTGGGAAACGCAGAGTTTGTTGTGTGCCGAGATGGTGATGGCAAGCTTCAAGCTTTCCACAATGTATGTCGACATCATGCCTCACTTCTTGCATATGGAAGCGGCCGCAAGTCTTGCTTTGTGTGCCCTTATCATGTGAGTTTACTTATGACATTGCTAATTGCTTGCTACATGTACATTAGTCCAAGCATCTACTTAAGTAACTGAATTACTTACGCATGCAAAACCCAATTGCAGGGATGGACTTATGGGTTAGACGGCTCACTTCTCAAGGCAACTAGAATAACTGGAATACAAAATTTCAATGAACATGTATGCCGTAAGATTGTTATGGATGCAATCACATTCCTGCTGTTGTACAATTATCTTCCAAATGGAGGGTTAATTTGTTTGATTTGTCTGGCCATGAAGGGTAGGAGTTTGGGCTTATATCGGTGAAAGTAGCTACTTGGGGCCCGTTTGTTCTTCTCAATATGGAGCAGGATGTTGATAGTGATACAGACATAGTGGAAAAGGAATGGCTTGGCAGCTCTTCAGAACTACTGAGTAACAATGGGGTCGATTCCTCATTAAGTTTTGTTTGTAGACGTGATTATATGATTGAATGTAACTGGAAGGTATGTTCCATGCTTGTTTCACTTTCAATTTTTCCTTACTAGATGAGTTTCTTTTGAAACTTCAATTTGAACTTTCTCTGTTCTGATGATAATCTTTAACAGTTTTATGGCCCCTATTCATGAAAGTAAAATACATCACGCCCTGTTTTTCTTTGCAGCAAAAACCTCTAAAGAAGATTTAGTCTTTACTAAAGCTCAGTTGTTCAAAAATAGCATGGATAACTGTTAATATGTTTAAGATGATGGAGCTGACAACTGATTACTCTTTATCCATTTCTTGTTGTAGGTCTTCTGTGACAACTACTTAGATGGCGGATATCATGTTCCTTATGCACATAAAGGCCTTGCATCTGGTCTTAATCTTGATCATTACTCTACCACAGTATGCTTCCCTTTCTTTATTTCACTTTTCTTGACATGTGTACCTGGGTTGAAATTATGCTATATATAGATCTGAAGGTATCTGGAAGATCTTCATGTACCAAGGATTTCACGTATTTTTAACTTTCTTGAAGTACATTCAAAACAAGGGATTCCTTATTTAGAGTTTTGTCAAGAGCTTTTGCTCTTGCAGCATATATCCATCTAGTGTTACTGTTTTTTTTTACTTAAATTGTTTGATTTTGTCCTTGCATCTTAGTTAGTGTTGTTAATTATATAGATTTATGAAAAGGTCAGCATTCAAAAGTGTGAAGGTGGCTCGACAGAGAGAACAAATGATTATGATCGGCTTGGATCAAAAGCTCTATATGCTTTCGTTTATCCTAATTTCATGATTAATAGGTAATTGATCAGTGACTGAAGTGGAAATGACTAGTGCATTAGTTTCTTCTATAAGCTAATTCTACAATGAATTCTTATAAGTAATAACATAACTTTTTAAGGTTTCTCATAGGTATGGACCATGGATGGACACCAATCTAGTACTGCCACTTGGACCAAGGAAATGTCAAGTGATATTTGATTACTTCATTGAACCTTCTCTTATGGTAAGATTAATTTATTCTACTTTTGGATAGTCCCTGCCTGTATTATCTACAAAATTAAGTTTGCAAGTGTCTTAAAACCCAGAGAGAAGTCATATAGATGTCATAATATAAATTGGTTTTCCTCTGTTCTAGTATCTGAAGTATTTAGGGGTACTTGCTTTTTCTTGCAAGATCACTGTTATTTACAAGGCATTACGTGCCATGCATGAACTATACATTAGTTTGGGAAACCTAGAGAAACCAAGTAATGAACACTCGTCTGGACAAAAACAAGTCAGCACAAAAAAATAATTAAGATTCACACCCCGCGGTAAACCTATTGTTTTCATCATGTTGATTCCAAGTGTGCTTTGTATCTTTTACTTGTTTTTTTACTTTTGATTTCTGGTTCTCAGGATAACAAAGATTTTATAGAGAGAAGTTTGAAAGACAGTGAAAGAGTACAGGTATATAATCAAAACATGCATGGTTCATACATGGTTCATAATATCTAGGTCTAATACACAAATGGGTGGCTGAGAATATGCAGGTGGAAGATGTCATGCTATGTGAAGGTGTCCAAAGAGGTCTTGAATCACCTGCATATGATATCGGCAGATACGCTCCAACTGTCGAGAATGCCATGCACCATTTCCATTCTCTGCTTCACAAGAGCCTGAAAAAATGAGAATTACCCAATACATATCGGTAGATGTGCTCCGACTGTCAAGAATGCCACGCACCATTTCCGTTTTCTGCTTCACGAGAGCCTATCAAAATTATGTCCTGGTTGTATCCTACTATTTTAGTTTTATATCTTTCGTTCATGTTTTATGAATAATGATGCAAGCGTGATGCTTTTTATTTTTCTGAGGATTACATTGTCCTGGAGTTTTCACTTCAAAGAATTTTACGAAGCAATAAAAACTTGTACCCAGTAGAAGTGATTCAATTTCAGAGAAGGTAAAAGTAATAATTAATTTATTCAACTGTGGGTAGGATGAAAACGGCTTTTTATTTTTCTGAGGATTACATTGTCCTGGAGTTTTTCACTTCAAAGAATTTTACGAAGCAATAAAAACTTGTACCCAGTAGAAGTGATTCAATTTCAGAGAAGGTAAAAGTAATAATTAATTTATTCAACTGTGGGTAGGATGAAAACGGGTAGACCTAAATTTTTTAATGGGGCATTTGATTATAAGGATTCTGACCTCTATTAATTCATACCAAAGAGAGATTTTAGCTCAAACGATTAAAAACATTTATTTGTGCACTTGAGACGTGTTCAAGCCTCCATCCATGACTATTACTTGAATTAAAATATAAAATAAAAGAAACTATGACTTCATAAATTTGATTTGTACGTCGTGGATTAAAAATCATTTCATAACAATTGTAAAATAAGCGAACCATTCCGAGTCCATTTAAAGAGCAAATGCCCTGGGCTTAAAACGCAAGGCACCATGTAAGACCACAGGGTACATATAGGAGGGCAATACAACGAGATTTGAACCATTACACTTTCCCAAAAAGTTAAAATGCAAGGTTGAGATATTTCTTTGCATATAAACAAATCCATCATCCCAAAACATGTCAAACTATAAAAACACAAATCACTAAGTACATAAAAACTGCACAAGTGAAATCCGGTCATCAGAGACCAAACCAACTATGTCTTCTTTGAAAAGCTGAATTACTGCAAATATATGTCCTACGTAACAAAATATTAGTTTGTGATTTCTGTGAAAATATGAGTCGTCGTGTTAGCCAAAAAAAGGGAAAATGCAGATACAGAAAACTACGAAAGCTGTTGATGTAACTGCTGAACACCTCCACACTTCCTACTGACTAACCTGAAAGACAAGCAGCAAGTGAATATTAATTGGTGATCACAAGCTTAGAACATAATAATTCGACCGTAATCCCCCGGAAAAAGGAGAATACAAAGAGGCATCCCTCATTCTTACCTCTGGACTCTTTTTTCGCCGATGAAATCTTCTTGTGAAATACTTGAAGAGTGGAGTTTCTGGAACAGGTATCAATTTCCCAACAACAGCAAGTGGCCAACTGCAAGGAGAACAGAGTTGTGTTAAGCAACAAATGAAGACAACTACGGAACAAATAATATCATTGTAAGTTGTAACATCAAATTCTAGTAGTATCTGTACGGACTCACCTAACAAAGGCAATAACAATAGAAATGAGCCAATGATTCCATTCAAGTTTGACTGTTTTAGTAAACTTCCCCAGAAACTCGATGATGATAACCTAAAGAAAAGCAAGCGAATGTCAAAAAATTTAAACATTCATCAAAACCCCATGGGAAAAAATGAAAATATTAAAGTCTCACCTGAAGTACAAGTGTTATTGCAATTATTCCCATAAAGAGACGGTTCTTAGTAATTCCTTTGAATATATTAAACTCATCAGGCTTTCGAGCATTGAATTCATTGAAAATCTGCGAGTTAAAGATTGTCACTTATTAAGGTCATAATGTAGCATATCTCATCCAAACTGGAAGAGAACACATGAAGTGTTATGTCTACAAGTACAAACGAATAAACCCTAGTCAGACTCAATCAACGAGTAAAAAACATGAACAAATCCACACAAAGTTCCTTATAATAGAACTAACAAATTACAGAACATTTTTTACAGATCAACAATTTCACTTCATTTTCGTAGAAATTTAGTGCAGAACTTCACATGGGAAACAAGATATTTCAGCAGTTTGCTCATATCATAGTCAAGGATCTTTTAGAAAATTTTACAAGAAAAATAAAAACCATAAACACATGCGTAGATATCAGATACCAAAAACAAGTGTTGCTGTTCTATTAAACAGTCATGACGTACTTGACAAAGGACAAAGGCATTGAATATCAGTGTATTCTTCAGCTTGTTAGCATGGTCTCCGTTGGGATCATGTGTCAAATGCAGTATACTTATCCCACGAAAGTTGAGGATAAGCAGTACGATGACTTGGTAGAAAGCCTGAGTTCAATGACAACTTATCAAAAATACAAACAAGGCAGATTCTGTAGCACGACAATACACGGTAAAGAACAATAATACATTAGTTTACATAAACGCCAGGAAAAGCAATACCTGAATCAACAAGTTCCTCCACATTATATTTGTTATAAGAGGCTCTCTGCAAAACAATGTAACAATAACTGCATTACTATTACCATCAGAGACACAAATAGGGCATCCAAATTTGGTCAGTCTGCTTAATGACATCAAATTTAATAGATACGGGCCAATTAGAGGTCACCATATTCAAAACAATAACACAATATGATGCAGGATGCATAGGACCTAGATTTATTAGTTTCCTAATGTATTTGTTAGTTTCCTAGATTCTCTAGTTTTCCCAATTCTAGTAGGATTTCTACTTTTCCAGATTTCTAGTTTTAAGTTTCCTATTTATTTGGGTTAGGATTTCTGTTTAAGCAAGGGTTTTTTATCCTGTTATGTCTAGGTTTTAGTTTTCTATAAATAACCCCATGTAGTTCTTTAAAATTCAGATTTGAATGTTGAGAAAACCTTTTCCTAGAACTCTCTGATTTCGTCCCTTCGATCTATATTTCTTCTCTTCAAACTCTAATATTCTTCTTTGTTCTACTGTTTCTGCCTTTTATCTCGTCTTTTCAATCTCTATTTCTTCTCCTCGGTCTCTTATATTCTTCTCTGTTCTATTGTTTAAGTGCTTAATCTAACACCTACGGGCTGTACTACATCACAATATACCTAATCACTAGAGAAAAGAAAGTAAAACTATATCTTGACAGAAATTAATGATCTGAAAGTAATTAGTTTCTCATGTTCTGTGCACAAGAGACAATACTAAATATGATTTGGAGCAACCTTCCCAATCCCATGGATGCAAGTAACTAGAATGAATATTTGTGACAACTTTTTTTGACACGGACTTTTAACCTAATTAAAACACATTTTGGCACAAACTTTGCTGCCATAGCTGTGATCCTAACCATGTTTTGGTAGTCATAAACAAGATCAAGTTTTCTTCTCATATATTTTCAACTTTCCAGGGTAGAGAGATACTGTACCCTAAGGAACTTTAAAAACAGCTAGATTTAATCGAAAAATAAATGAATAAAAATTCTTTTTTTCAACTAAAGTGAAAAATATTCAGACATTTTTGGCAATTAACATAAAATAACAGTGTTTCAGTGACATGATACGTTTTTTTGTTACAGAAACTTACTTTCGACCAACAGGGGTTCTGTCCATCAAGTGATCTGTAGGAGGCTCAGTAGCCAACGCTAGTGCTCCAAGAGTATCCATGATAAGATTCACCCACAGAAGCTGCATCAAGCACAAGAAAAAGAGTCCACAGGTGTACACAGAGAGAGAGAGAGACAGAGAGAGAGACAGAGACAGAGAGAGACAGAGAGAGACAGAGAGAGACAGAGAGAGATAATACCTGAACAGCATTTAGTGGAACATCACCAGAGGAAATCGCTGCCACGACATTTATAATTAGTGCTGCAACATTGACTGTAAGCTGGAATTGGATGAATTTCTGAATATTTGCATATACAGATCGACCCCATCTAACAACCTACAAGCATTGAGAAAAACCAATAAGTCGTGTGACTTTAACATTAAAACGGTGAGAGGTGAGAGAGTAGAAGTAATACAGAAGAGAATAGTAATAAACAGAAGAAGAAGAAAAAACCCCAAAAAACCAAAAGTTAGTATATGTCATTGGTTGCATAGTATTCCTAACCTTCACAACTGAAGCAAAATTATCATCCAATATGATGATATCTGAACTCTCTTTGGCAACTTCAGTCCCTTGAATACCCATAGCAAGACCAATGTCGGCCTGAACTCAAATGTGGAAGATTCCAAACAAAACCATTAAGACATAACATCAAACATTAACAATGAATTAAGATAGGAAAAAAAAGAACGAATAAACTACAAAGTGCTACGGTGATTGTAACCCTAATAACTGCTTCGATAAATAAAACAAAAAGAAAGAAAAAGCAAGTAAAAACATCCGAGAGACCTCATGCAGTGCAGGAGCATCATTAGTGCCATCTCCAGTAACAGCAACAACATGTCCCCTTCTCCTCAATGCTTGCACAAGCAGAAGCTTGTCATTGGGGGAAGACCGCCCCATCACCTGCACATTAAAAAAAAGATTTAACTCCCTAAAAATTTGCCATGATACTTTAATTCTTAAGCGTGCATGCCAGGAACTATCTGAACAATACACAAGTATTCATACCGAAATCTTCTCCGCATACTCTTCTCTCTGCTCATCAGAAAGGTCACGAAAAACTTTTCCCTCGATAAGAGTTGGCTCAGTAGCATCTGAATCAGAAGTAAGTATGCCACATTCCAAAGCAATTGCTTTTGCAGTTTGAACATTGTCGCCCGTAACCATGCGTACCTACATGTTTATCAAGTTGGAGGAACTTTAAAAATACAACACCCAATCGTTCATTTTCTAACAAGAAATATTTCAAAGCATGACCATAATTATGAAAACCCTACCACTAACAATATGTAAAAAATAGTGAATTTTTTTTAAAAAGCAAAAACATAACCATGGTGGGATATACATTGAAAGGCATCAACCACATAAAAATCTTGCAATTATAAAGCCAAAAAGAAACCACATCCAGAAATATCCAATTGCTCACTTTCTGACAAGAATATTTAAAAGCATACCCAGCAAATAATTATGAAAATCCTACCACTAACAATATTTGAACAGTACAATAGTAAATTTCTTAATAAAACAAAAAACGAAAGAAACATGGCTGGATATACATTGACACAAACACCCACCTCAAAAAGCACTTGCATAGATAAAACCAAACAATAAAGCACATCAAGAAACCATTCATGTAATGATCTTACAGTTAGTGGAAAACGACTTCCTTTTGCCCAAGTGTAATAGTCAAACTAATGACAGTTTTTAGGAGTAAGGGAACAAGCGGGAGGCTAAACATATTATTCCACATAAAATAGTATAATAAATGAAGACGCATCAGACAACCCTATGACAGGAAAGTAGGCCTTCCATTGTTGCACAATCACAGTTGAACTTAGTTGTAAAAAGCTGAACCCTATGGGTCTTCTCCAACCTTCCAAACACACTTCATCCAATTATATAAACACCCCTCCATATGAAGAACAAAAATTCACAGGATAATTTCAAATTTGGAATTGATATGTCACTAAATAATACCTTAACACCAGCTTTTTGGCATAGTTGCACTGCATCTCTAACCCCTGGCCGACAAGGATCCTGCATTTCATTATTGTGTACATAAGCTAAACAAACTAAATGTGAACGCAAATTTAAAAAGCAAATAAAACTTATAGATGCACTACCTTAATACCAACAATAGCAAGCAGAACAAGGTCGTCATCAGGCAATGCCCACAGAGCTAGTTGTTGTTCATCAGTCGGAACGCTTTCTAATTCATATGATCTATATGCAATAGCAACACAACGCAAACTGCGAGCAGCCATATCCTCAATGGACTCCCTGAACATCATTGACTGCAGACAAAGAACTTCATTAAAATGAACCATTTGATAAAATCTTCCGAAGTCCAAGGTCAACATAAAATACAAACTAGTGCGAACATAAGCCTAAGAACAAACTTGTAAAACTTAAATTAGGCTCTTATGCATAAAGAGATGTTAAACTGTCTTGCCAGAATAGAAAAATTGTAATGCATGTGGAAATCATCACAAGCAGTAAAGGAATGACTAAAATATAAAGAAAAAAAAACAGAGAATGTATTACGCATGTCCCATTCACTGAAAAACCACAGAAATCAACACTATCATGTAACTGTTCTGTAAATGTCACTATAAATTTCTCATACCTTGTCATCATCCATTGCTGCCAACTGATCATTTGCATCAAGGTACTTTGTACATGAGGCCAATACTATTTCAGCGGCCCCTTTCCAGTGTATATGAACTTCAGAATTGGGCTGTAAATATTTAAAGGCAATCAAACATTATTTAGACTTTGAGCATGGATGAAAAAGAAGTTATCCAAAAATCATAGTATTGTAATATTATTTCTCATATCTGTAAATCATATTCTCAGGCATTACAGGATTTTTACTAAACAGAGTACAATAAAAGGTCATCTAGATCCCTGAAATATTTGTTGCATTCAAGGGGTCAAGGGGGTAACAAATAGGCACAGCAACGCATGTGTAGTAATTAAAATATAACTTGTAATGTACAATCTTAAAATGCTACATGATTTATATAGTACATAAGCAAGAAAACTTTATGTAGTGGAAATTTTCTCTTGCTGAGCATGTAAATCTGGACAATTGAGTGGTTTGACTCTTGCATGATTGTAGGGTCCAGCTTCAGTCCCCACAAAAACATCACCCCTATATGCCATATCATGTTAAGAAAAGATCTACTAGAACTAAAACTTTGCTCACAGAAGCCAAGTTTTCCGGGAAGATATTTACTAGTAAAAGCTCAATCAGGAACTAACCATACAGACAGATATAACAAGAATAACGAGAATGTGGACAACAATAATAATCTATCACCAAAGGCAAATGGCAAAGTATACCTACGTTGCCTCCCCCACCCACCAATAAATTTATTTATTTGTTTAATTTAAATGTCTCTTCAAAGCATTTTCACTACTGTGAAGATTGCAGCATAAATGATTGGTCACAACAAAGAACAATTAATCAACTTTACCAATTTAACAGCAGCGCCACCTCGCTTTTTCTCAGAGTTGAATGGGAACACATGAAGAACCGAAGATTCAGACTTGATGGCTTCAAAATTCATTCCAAGCTGCAAACAAATTAATAGTAACCAATGGATCACTTAAAAATAAAATCACATTAGAAGTGGCAGGACATTGGAAAACCAAAAGAAAGAACCTTGATTCCCCATTGCAGAATTGCCTTTTCAGTTGGTGAACCAGAAACTTCTATATCACCACCAGTCTACAAAAAGAAGCAATGGCAAATTGTTACAGTGTGTAAGCCTTTTTCACTCATATTCTGCTAGACAAATCTTACCAAGAAAAGAAACAGACACTTAAAGCATACCTCAGGCACATAAACACTGCCAGTTGTATTCAATGCAATGCCTTCAATAAGCAAAGCTGATAGCATTGGGGACAAGTCTGACTTATTGTCAGAGATATCAATTTTCTTCCCACCAGTAAAAGCCTCAACCACAGTCATCTATACTCAAAAAAAATTATCAAAAAAGAATCAGTCATTAGCAGCCCTTGCCTAGTCCACCAGCGTCTTCCCCCAATCTCTGCACAATAAAAATAAATTTTCCAGAAGTCCCAGAATGCTGCTTGTGCTCACATCCACCAGCGTTTTTCTTACAACAACCAAACAAACTAATCTCAATTTGGCCTTTTTTAACTAGGGCAGCACTTTGGCTGGGTTGAAACCTCAATCTAGCTTTCATCCAAACTTATCTAATTGGTAACAACTCTCCAGCTTCATCGTCATAAATCAACAAGGAAATAGACACTCTTTCTTCCATCACATTATAACCTAGCTTCCTCCTCCCAAAATGAATGAAGAACAAAAGGGGAAAAATAAAGCCCATTGTAAGTTATAACCCACCTGGTTCAAAGTTAAGGTTCCAGTCTTGTCACTGCATATAGTTGTGGCAGAGCCCATTGTTTCACATGCAGAAAGCCTTCGCACCTACATTTAGAATTCCATCATTTTCATTTTATTATATGCTTAACCACAAAGTACATCATCTACAAAATCTATGTAGGAATAAAAATGAACAAAATTACACCTACCAAGGCCTTATCTGCCATCATTTTTCTCATCGAGTAGGCAAGCCTGTGACGTAGCCAAAGAATAAAAGGGAAAAGAAATGAGGAATGTAGAGAGATGAATGCATACAATACATATATGCTTTACAACAAGAAAAAATAAAGTTTGCATCAAGAAGACAGAAGCATATATTATTCTTTCTTTCACTGATATCAAGTTACTCAGTGTAAAGCACATGGTTGAAGTGAAAAATAAAAAATAAAAAAAGTTCTGGCACAAAAGAACGAGCACACTTACGTCAAGGTAACAGCTAAGGGAAGCCCTTCGGGAACGGCAACCACTACAATGGTGACCTAAAATATTTTCATAGTAGTCAAAATCACACTTTTCTATTTACAATAAATAACTAGGTAGACAACGACACACACGTATTGACTGCAAATAACTAAGTAGTTATTGACATACTGCTATAGTAACAATCTTAATAGCTCCATCTATGGCATCTCCAAATTTAGTCTTTCCGGCCTTAAACTGAGGAGTTCCATTTGCATTTTTTGTATGGCCAGTAAAGTATCTGCACAAATTATATTATGCAATCTTAAGTCAACTGTCATGTCACGGAGAAGGGGTTGCTAGCAACAATCGGAATATACCTGACCAATAGGACAACCAAGACAGCAAAAGCTACTGTGAGTCCGACAATTCCAATAAAAGTAGCCACCCCATTTAAGCGCACCTATTCATTGTCATCCATGGTTCAGCACAACATGTCATGCATAAAAAGAGAATTATTTCAATATAACATTAAAGCTGACCTGCAGAGGGGTTTCTTCACCAGTATCTTCTGAAATACTAGCCATGAGCAATCCCCATTCGGTATTAACCCCAACACTGGTAACCTGAAGAAACAATAATAATAATAAAAAATTGAATGTTCTATTTCAACATTACATTTTCAACAAATAAAAACAAGCCTTACAAAACAAAGAATCAACAAGCAGACAAGGAATTTCAGATAATCTCGACTAACTCAAGGAAAACGAAGTACCATACACTGTAGATGAAAAATATGAAATAATCTACATATATGTATACACAAAAATCCACACTTTTTGACACACTTTTCCCCCCTTAGATAATGAGCCATCCAAGGGTTAGAAATCCACCAAACTTAATTCTTAAAAAAATATAATATTCCTTTATTACTTTTGAAAATATTAATGCATAGTGTATGGGGTTCATCTCTCTTGTCTACACCACCTGCTTTTCTCTCTCCATCTCTCCCTCTCAGTTTCTCTATTCCTGATCGTAGAATTAACTACAAATTCCAAATCTTGGAATAAAAAGAAATATCTCGAATGCTTTGTTTCCTTCTTACATGTGTTGTTTATGTTTTTATCTTATTTGATTATGATCTCAACAAGTACAGCCAGTCATTTAAAAATAAAATTGTGAAGAAGAATCATTAAAACAGACGGTAGGAAAACATACTTTGTGGGTAAACTTCGGTTTCTTTCGAATTCATGGGTTTCTCAAAACAAAACAAAAGAAAGAAGAAAAAGTATTCGTTGTAAATGAAATTCAAGAGTCAAGAAAGATCCATATTCAAAATATGGTTAAAAGGTGGGTGCTCTATAATCTGGTAATAGGAAAGTTGATTATATGCCAAATCCAAAACCAGAGGTTTTTATGTAGTGACTGGTTGTTTTCTGGGGTTTTCCCTTCTTGTTCATGTAGCACCAGGAGCATCCTTTTTAGCATCTTTTAAGTGTCCAGCCATTGAATATAGGTCAATGAAAGTTCAATGTGAACTACTAGATTGAAGATTAGGGGAGCTTACTGTTTTCCTAATGGAGTTTGAACGAGCAGAAGAGAGAAACTAAGTTAGAAAGAGTTTGACCAAAACAAGAAAAGTTAGGAAAAAAAACGAAGTGCTAGAAGATAGAGAAAGGAAGGGCATGAGAATTTAGGAAGGTAAGAGGAGAGAGAATGTAAAAGCATTCAGTGTCAACTACATGAAGGACGGGAAAATAGTTGCAAGTATTGAAAAAGGAGAAGAGAGAGATCTAAATCTTTACCAGCATAGTACCATTGCCATCTGCTACTTTGCAGCCAGACATTAGAAATGGTTCCTTGGAGTCCTTACGAACCTGCAACAAAAAATATAATTTACAGAAAATATAAAAAAGGCAATGTTCAAACAATGCTACAAAACAGGCATAAAGACTCACAATCTTGCTCTCTCCTGTCATGCTTGACTCATCTATCGCAAGTGAGTGACCGCTTATTAAAATGCCATCAGCAGGGACCTAAAAATAGAATAAGAATATTAATAAGTTTTGCATTTGAAATGCAATCGTAAAATATACAACAAAAGTTTACTGACAAACACACATACCTGATCACCGATGTTAAGGGGTACAACATCACCAACAACAAGATCATAAATTGAGACCTCAACTCGTCTGCCACCTCTAATGACCTAAACATTAACTCCAAAGATGAATTCCAGTAAAAGAAAATAAATAAAACCCCAACAAATATGAATTGTAATGCAACCAGAGAAGCACACCTCCAACTGTATATTTCTCTTTTCCTCATTTAAATTCTGAAACTGGAGAGATTGTCTGTAATCACTTATGGCTGCACGTAAAAAGTGTATACCAGTTATGGTTAATACATGCTCCCATACATATTAGAATTCAAGTAATAATACAACCATATATGCTCATCAATGACAAATGCTTAAACACACCACAAAAAAGAGAATACAAAAGATAACAGATGATTAAACACAAGCCAATGTAAGAATCCCATTATTGCCCATCAATGACACGAATAGCAGCCCTACCCCCTCCAATGAAGACAGATGGATACAAACACAATCCCCTCCTATTGAGGGATCCCTCAAATAAACACCTAGTAGCGTTTAATGCAAATTTTATTTCAACGATCCGAACCGTCCATGTTTTAAGTCTTCATTCAAAGATCATCCTAGCAAAAAATTACCAAAATCGGAAACCATTAAGTCTTCTAGTTGTGATCAACAATATCAATGATGCCGGTAGTTAAAGAAAACATTAAAACTACAACCATCAATTAAGTGGTCAAATGATTTTTTGCAGGAATGATCTTTGAAGGAACACCTGAAAAATAGATGATTTGGATTATGAAAATACAGCGTGTATGGTTCCCACAAGGGTGTCCCCATTATATAGTAGGGGCGGGATCCAATGAAGCATGGATGCATTCTGCCAGCCATGATGAGTCTTCACTGAATAAAACATTCAACCACATTTTTAGGAACACCCACAAAACCTACCAGGGACATGCATACCTATACATACATATTCAATAAGCATGTCCATTCAAATACCTGTGACAACAATAACAAGGATAACTGCAAAAGCAATGCTGCCCCCATCATACCAACCATCATCTATACCCTGTAAGCAACAAAGAAAATATAAGGCAAACACCATAAACAAATTATTCATCTTTAAATAAAATAACTAACGGGATTCACAAGGAATTATGATATCATTTTTTCCGAACATATGCCACTATGAAATTGTAATATCATGGCCTTAACAGCATATGAAATCATCTAACCTATTTACAAAAGACAAATCATGGGACAACAAAAAATCAGACTTCAAAACAAACAAAAGCAGAAGGGCTTTGCAAGTGGCAGATACTCATAAGACTAGTTTCATATCCTAAACTGATAAAGAGTGAAGCTATTAAAAAAGTAATATCATGCTCACCTCTGTCTTTATGCCCAGCACTAAAGAAGCCACTGCAGCTACCATCAAAATTATCAGAGTAAGATCTTGCCAAGCTTCCCAGAGAAATGTCTATCATACAACACAAGGAAATAAAATAATATTACATCACAAATCTATTCTTTCTTTTTTTCTAATTATTTCCAATACATAAAACTTAAGAAGTTCATAATTATAACAAAAACTTACCCAGAAACTCCTTGCTTTTTTTTTAGGATATGTGTTTGTTCCAAATGCATTTTTACGTTTCAGTAAATCAGCATCATCTCCATGAATTCCCTTGTCTAGATTTGTTTTTAATAAATCTCCCAGCCCTTTGACCTAATGTAAGAGAACAGCCAAGAAAAAATATAAGCAACATTGTTTATGTACCAAGTCAAATCACTAAAGAAATTTTTAGTAGACGTGCCCCCCCATATTGTTGCAGAGCAGGAAAATTATGATCCCTCGTCACCGAAACTAGTTGCTCCTGTCCAATTGGAAAATCACCAGCAGAACTTGGTTTCGGTGGTACATTTCCTAAAAATAAGAAACAGCAAGTTAACTATAAAACTAACCGAAAGAAGAGTGTTACTAAACACGGATTCATATATGACATAAATCTACAAAGGTCCAAAACACAATCCTAAAACAAATGAACAAGAATGTAGCTTTAGACATTCTATAACAATTGATTTTTCTTCAAATATAAAACTGTGAACAAGAAATGAAGAGAGGATCACGAGATCTATTCCCATAGCACCTATTCCAAACTGACAGACAGGGTATTAACCTAAAATGAACAAAATTAAAATTCACTTTTGGAACATATTCAACGGGATGGTATCAAACATCAGTTACAGTGTGTTATTGAAAATAAAAAACACAAACCCCTGTACCAGATACACATGGCTAGAAAGGATGGAAAAGGAGCAAATAATAAAAGAAAGGAAAGGAGTGAAGCAAGAATACACCCCCCTAGTCAGAACTGAACAATGTCATTATGGCATTAGTTGGTTATTAGCATTAAGGGAACCAATTGTCGTAAATGAAAGCAGTTTATTGAGTGAAACAAAGAAGAAATTATTCCGACTAAGTATAATGCTACAATTAGATTCAAATAATTGAAGCATGGAGCAGTTTCTAGAAATAACCCGTGCCAAAGGAAACCAAAGGATAAAAGAAGATGCAATTCAAACAACATATCATGATGTCCTCACATTTTACTACATATGATACTTACAAAAATTTAATGGTCAAAGAAAATACAGGAAAAGAAGTACCATTCACTTGTTGGTTTCCAGCCTCTTTGAAAAGATATGCAGCCTGATAATTAAAAAATCATAAATTAGAAGAACAATAGAACATGAGTCATGTAATACACATTTGTTTTCAAATGAATTACTCGTATGGCTTGTGCATGTGCTCTAATCTTCCTCAGTGTCTGCTGCTTTTCTTCTTCCTTTTTCAAGTCTAAGGTGTATCGAAATCGACGAGAAGCATTCAGCACAAGTGCCGCTTGCTACAAAGAAACATAACATGGTTTAGCCAAAGCCTTGATTGCAAAAAAAAAAAATTCCTTCCACTAACAACTATAACTAAGCTACCAATAGAGAATTTCAATTATCAGTCAAAATATACAGGGAACCCAGGTAGTACAATTTGACTTAACCGAGGTGGTTCAGGGACTCCCACCAAGCCCGAGACACATTCATGGAGAAACCTACCATTGATGCACAGCCACTGGCATCTAGGGTAGTAAAGCCCTTAACAGAGTGGCATCGCAATGGACCCAGTGATTTCTTTGTTTTGGTTTTAATTTGATTTTGGAACCAATTGTCACATATTGAAAACCAGAAAAATCCAAACTTAGCTGAAAATTAAGTTCACTTTTGGTAACAATTTTGTAGAACAAAATTCACACATCAACAGATATTCTTGTTGATTATCTCATTCGACTTTTACCAAAACATGAATCTTGACGTATTACATATATATGTTAGTATTATGTAATCTGCGATAACTGATATATATAAAATGAAAAAACCTCTCTTGTGAGACGGTCTGGCTATGTTGCCAAAGTTAAAGTTTGTGGTCCAGATCTATTGTCTGGCAACAAAACATGCCAAATATCTGAGAAGAGAGCATTACCTTGTATCTATATATACACATATACTGTGCACTTTGTTGTTGATATAATAATTTTTAAATATGACATATGAATTGGTATCATTATATATGCATTAGTATTATAATTATGTATGTTTTTCAGCACTTGCATCTGAACTCTTAATTTTCATGCACCTGTCATATAATCGGTACTATGGGATGGATTATACTTTTTTCTCTTAGATCATACATGCCAACATTTCCTGGGGCAAGGTCAGCGCCACAAAGTAGCCTCTGCTAGTGCCTCTTTATACCTGTTTACATCCCTAACCCAGCATATTGTATTCGGATTGTTGATTAAATACTCCACTCCTTTATTGATAAAGGGACTTGTACACATGCAACGACACAAAAGGATTTGTTCATTTATTTAGCTATTGTAGGATGCAACAGTCCTTGAGATATAGGCCCAGTTTCAGACAGGTAGAAAAACTACAAGTCAGAGTCAAGAGTGACACAATAAGCACATCAAAAAGGAGTGTACATAGCTTATATTTTCTCAATATGCTCGACATTTTATAGACTAATGTGGCATATCTTAAACATGAAGCAGTACGTATTATTCCTATCCACCATATGTAGAGAAGCTAATAGTCATTCATCACAACTTCTCATGGTTAAATAAATAAATAAAAGAATTATGCTGCTAATAGCACCTTAAAATCATCAGAATACCAAAACTATCATCCAAATTCTTTACCATTTCATGTTATATTGACTTTGTTAGTGAAAAAAGAGAGTTTATATCACTCCTCCTACATCAAAAATACTCTTTCAGCCAACATTTTTCCACGTCTTCTTTCAACTGTACATGCACTACTTAACCTAAATAAGTTTTAAACAGACCCAAAGCCCTTTTCCTAAAAATTTGGAACTACACAAGTCCAGATCCAGGGGACAATTACAATATATAGAAACTTACCATACAATACCGCAAACCCAGAAAAAATAAAATTGGAAAACTAAACATCAAACGCTTTAATCTCCCAACTCCAGATGAGAGTAAAAGTGTAATTTGACAAAAAATAGAAAGAAAAAAAAATGTTCACCGACAAATGAACACATGAGCCTAAATAGACCGCCCAAATCAACATAATCCATAGCCATACATAACAAGTTGCAGAAAATATATCAATAAAATTAAATCTACAACAGCAAAATGTAAAGGATAATCAACAAAAAAGCAATATCAAATTGAAAGGTAAACATACCCTCCAACGCTTGAGGCGGTCAATAGAAGCATCCTTAGTTCTGGCAATGAAAAACGTACTTGATGAAGACTCTTCATCGTCCGAGTCACCGGCCTGACGGAGTCCGCCCTCCAAATCTGTACGTCGTCTATACGGCGAGCCTCTTGATTGACTCATGTTTCACAAAACCTGTCGCAGGAGAGATGGCACCGTTAGCTTCTTCAACTTCTGAGCCCAAACCGCACTCAAAAATTCTCTTTCTCTTCGATTTCCACTATCTGAACCAAACAGAAGCTTCCAAATCTGTTTCTACTTCAAAATTTCACAAATATTCAAAATACTTCGCACTTCTCTAAACTATCTAACCCATTTCACGTCTGAAATTCACACAGAAAACAAATTGATGCAACTTCCGGTTGGATAGCTCAAGTGATTTCTCGAATCTTCGCTCTCTTTCTCACACTGTCACTCTAGAAAACGCCTCAACTGTCCGTTTTCTCTCTCTAGCACAGCCGGTTCCAAAACGTTCACCGCTCAGCTTTGGGCTATTACTTACTGTGTTCAGACCTGGCAATATTGCAGTACCCGGGTGTCGCTATCGTGTTAACCCGTTAGCTACTCGATATGCTATCGTGTCATATCATGTCAAATTGTCAATATTTAGAGCATTCACATTAGAAGGGTGTATATGGGGGTGTATATTAAATGTACACCTCGAGTTATCGAAATTGTCTTCAATGGAGAGATATAAATAGATATAAATATACATCACCACCATGGAGATGTAAAAAAATTTACATCTATTTTTACATCCTTTACAAACGGGACCCACCCGAGAAAAGAGAAGAAAAATGAAGAAAAGTCAACATAAAAGGCTGGGACCCACGGCTACACCCCCGAATTTACACTCTTCCATTGTGGATGCTCTTATCAACCGTTAAACTCAGGGCATTTTTGTAAATTTATATATCTATTTTTTTTCTTTCATCTCTTTCGTCTCTTCCTCTCCCATTCCCCCGATTCTCTCTCTCTTCAAAACCCAACAACCTTTGAGCTCTCTTCCTCTCACAACTCGAGAGTCTCAAGCAGCCACCACACCACCCAACCACCGAATGCCAGGTCTAGTGACAACGCTCCGATTCAACAGTGCATTACTGCCGTTCAAAGGAGTGCCACAAAATTATCCAAATATATATTGACATTTATTAATTATTTTTGGGTATTTCTTGTTTTGTACGCGATGTGATTTGAAGAAGTGACCGACTTCAGCCGAATTTGGATCGCTTGCCGTTTTAGCAACAGGAAAAGAAAAAACAACGCGTTTGTGGTTCTTTCCGCGTTTGACAGCCGGTGGGTCGCACGTTAGCGGTTTAATGCTGCTGGTATAGACGTTTATTTTCTTTTTCGGTTTTGTGTGTGTTCAAATATGTGCAATAACGTAAAAAAGCATTTTTGATTATTGTGTTTTGTCTCTAGTTGAATTTGAGTCGCTATGTTTTGTTTCAATTTCAACTTTTGTTGATGTGTTTTTAATTTTCACAATTTAATCATTGTGTCTATGTTAGGAATTTTATCAGTGTGGTAATTAATTCAGATAAAAATTCTGATTTACAATTTGGGGAAAAATAATTTATTTCTTTTCGAGAAAAATACTATTGGGGTGTAAAAAATGCCATATGGGATTTTCAAATTAATTTTAATTTTTCATGTTTACTTGATAGATAGAGATTTATTCTCAAAGAATTTTGAGGCTTTTAAAAATATAAATTTTGAATTTATTTGCTTCCTTATTTGAAATCCAAAATTTGATTTCGTAATTTTCGCACCCGTTTAAGTTGTGAAAATTATCCATAAATTGCTGATAAAACTAAACACAGTGACCAAATTGAAAAAATTTGAAAAGAAATTAAAAACACAAATGACCAAAATTAAAATTGAAACAAAACACTTAGCAAGAAGTTTCTTGAAAGTCAAAGAATGAATCAAATCGTGATGTGGCCAATGAAATTTTGGCGTTTGTGGGGAATATTTACTTCTAACATGATATATTATACAAAAATCCTTAAAGAGTCTATTTGGAAAGAAAAATTCAAAATTAACCACTTGTCATTTTGTAGTTGGTTCTAATTGCGTTAAAATTGTCTAAGAACTAATTAGAAAGTACCAAGTGACTAGTTTTTGGGTTTTTTCTCTAAATAAACTTTACAGAATTTTTGTATAATATATGATATTAAAATAGACTTATTTATAAAAACCTTTTATTTTTCTCTCTTTTAAGGTTACCGACAAAAGAATGAATGAAACGCGATACAGGTTAACGCGGGAACAAGTTCCTCAAGTAAAACAATTTTCCTAAAGTGGAATTTGTCCACGATTAACTTGTTGATGAAAGGATGAGAAACTTGCCAATCATGGAAATTTTTTTGAGTCGGTCCATTAGACAGTTGGCCCATAATATATATATATATATATATATATTTGTATAATAATAATAATGATGTGAAGGTTCAAGGTGGTGTGGCAAAAAATGATGACATTAAGTGTCGACGAGTGGAAAGGTTGCGCAGAAGGTTCAAAGTTTTGGTGTAAGACGTGGATAGGGCAGCAGCAAGGCAAAATATAGAGCTGCCTTGTGGCAATTGAAGAAGCAGGCAAAGACAGAAAATAGTTATATATAAATGAGTTGTCCATTTAAATCACTATCTGAATGTATGATTCACTCATACGTGTAAAATTTCTCGATTTGAGATGCTGCCACCACAAAGGATTTGGAAATGAGATTGGTATCAGAAAAGAGAACATGAAATAATAAGATAAGGCAAGACCATTTTCATACCAAAGAAAAGTTTTCTAATAGGGGAAATCGTAATATGCACTCCTTTGAAAGCATATTGCATTAGTTTAGATCTACTTGATGTTTTCGAATGAGGAAATTTAAAAGTATTGAAAAACTTTAACGTGTTAGAGATTCTAAAACATGAAGCATAAGTAGGAATGTAATGTTTATTTCTATGTATGTAAGGGGGAATGGCTCTATATGACGGTGGTGGAGATGCGGGTCGATGTGATGTCGGTGGCCGATGATTGAGCCAGAGGAGGTGGCGGTGATGGTGAGTTTGAAGAGAATTTTGTTTATATTCTTGCGTGGGTTGGTGGAATAAGGATTTTGAGCAAGAGAATGTGTGTGAGGGGAGAAAGATAACGTGTGCCTGTTACTTTCAAAAGGAGACTAATTACCACACCAAAGAAAATTGGAGAGTAATTAGTGCCATTATCTTTGGATGACATATGGAGGTGGGTGGTAGTGGTCTACTTTTCGTTGGCACTTTTCTCGAAGCTAAAATTCTATGTAGATTAGGTCAGTTGTCGAAAGTAATGTGTTCGTGAGACTTCTATTTGCTCTTTCGTAAAGCAAATGTAGACTGTTTATAAAAGAAAATTCCAAAAATGGATATCAAAATAAAATGAGTGCAAACACACACCTTTTGAATTCTGTCATTTAAAAAGAAAAAGAAGAAAGCACCTTTGAATCGATGTAAATATAACAAAATGGAATTTGGTTTTGGACGGTTCAAATGCTTGCAGAGTGCTCTAACTACCCTTTACTATACCAATATTCTTCTTCACCTTCTCCATCTTCTTCTTCTGTTTTCTTTTTTCTTTTTTAAAAATAAAGATAACTTACAGTCTAGCTACTTCCTAGAAGAAGAAAAACAGGAGATGTCTTTTCAAACAGAACAAGAGTGGGTACAGTAGGCCAACGAACGGCCTACATGGTTGGTTGATGGTTGTACCAAGTATAGGGATCCTTTTAATTTCTTTCTGGTCATGTCTTCTGAGTTTTCAGAAATAATCGAAGTTTTTTCTTCGTTTTTTTTTCTTGGTAAACAAAACGGTCAATTTTATGGAAATATTCCATTGACATTGGTGTGAATTGATAAAACCAACTAATATAAATTAAAATTTTAAAAAAAAATTAAAACTAAAATAATTCAGGATTATTTAGTTCCAGTTCTCGATTGATTCAAATTATATAGGTCGGCGCATGGAATATTTTCTATGTTTTGTTTTTGGTTTACAAGGGTATGGAATTTCACGTCAAGGTGAGCTCCAGCATAGAGAAATACATTTGGATATATTCTCAATGAGCAGATTGTGGAAGATAATGCCTATAAAACAGTATATAAACGACGGACACTATGATCGAAGCCTCGAAACCAGACAAGAAATGGCATTTTATTCGAAACGAAATGAAGAAGAAATAAAAAAAACCATGGAAGATCACTAGAGAGACAATAGGGGTAATGCATGCTTCAAGTTTTGCTTTATATATGCATGTTGCTTTCGTTCTTCCTGGTTTTGTTTTCATTCAATATATTTTTGTTTTTTCTATAAGAAAGGGATGAATTAATACTGTGAATTCAAAAGATGATGAGGAAATAAAAACGTACCAAAAACTAATTGGCCGAATATTCAGTGGAGTGCACTTTATCTTCAGAGAAAACAACGTCGTTGATGATCAAAATCTCTGCATCACCATCACCAAGAAGATTTGAGTTCTTATGAGATAGCGTCTCCTTCTTTCCAATATATAATCTAGCACATATATTTATTCTTCTTTAAGAATCGCACGTAAAAGCATGCAATTTTCCAACTCAGACGGTGCATACTGAATACAGCATTTACATACAAGTTTCTGTTTTTGAAGAGTTAAAGCCTGGCGTTCTACACCTTTTTATTAAATGTTGTTTTTTTTTTTTTTTTTTTTAGATGGGGGTTTTCTCATATACAAGGTGTCATGAAAGTTCGAACCTAAGACATTGGCATGCAAATCAAGGTCATTCTCCACTGAATTATATCTTTGTTTATTTTTGAAGTTTTTGGAATGGTCAGAAACACCCATTGTATTTACGTACGTAGTTTTTTTTAAAGAGACAAAGCCATATATGTTTTAATATTCTTATTGCTAAAAAGATATTGTGATCTTTTTAGTCGGCATATGCATGTTTTAATATTCTAATTGCTAAAAAGATATTGTGATATTTTCAGTCGGCATGTTAGATTCAGACTGATAATCTAATAAATATCGTACACGACAAACTATCTAGCAAGAGATCAAATGATGATGGACAAGTGTCTCAAGCTTTATATGGGAATTCATTCTCATCTGAATTGTT